CGGTGACGCAGACCTTTCATCCTGGTCTTCTGACTGCGACGTCGCGTTTGCCACGCTCCGTAGTCTGCTAACATCTCCTCCGATTCTTCGGCATTTCGACCCAACAGCTGCAACGGAAGTTCACACAGACGCTAGTGGGGTTGGTCTAGGCGCCGTCCTCGCCCAACGCAAGCCGGGCTACTCCGAGTACGTCGTCGCTTATGCGTGTCGCACACTTACTAAAGTTGAGGCCAATTACAGCGTCACTGAAAAAGAGTGCTTGGCGCTAGTGTGGGCGCTTCGCAAGTTCCGCCCTTATTTGTACGGTCGCCCATTCGACCTGGTAACGGACCACCATGCACTTTGTTGGCTCGCCACATTGAAAGATCCTTCTGGCCGCCTAGCTCGGTGGGCACTGCAAATCCAGGAGTATGACATTCGTGTCATCTATCGCAGTGGACACAAGCATTCTGACTGCCGACGCCCTGTCGTGTTCGCCTTTACCTCCCGACTCGGCCTGCGGAACCACTGGTACCAACTCCGTCGGATCTCTCGACCTCGACTCCTTTGCCAGTGAACAACACAAGGACCCGTGGATCGCTTCCCTTTTTAACTGTCTCTCTGGATTGTCAACCACTGCGGTGCCACGATCTATCCGACGTCAAGCTGCTCATTTCGCCATTCGGGATCGGCTGCTACACCAACGCAACTACGCCCCCGAAGGTCTTAAATGGCTCCTGGTTGTCCCGCGCAGCTTGCGATCACAAATCTGTGCCTCCTTTCACGACGATTCCCAATGTGGTCATGCCGCAGTTTTCAAAACTTACGAACGCATTCGCCATCGCTTCTACTGGCGCGGAATGTATAATTTTGTTCGAAAATTCGTTATAGGCTCCCTGACTGTCAACGCCGCAAATAACCGCCTTTCCACTCATCCGGTGCGCTTCAACCGCTTCCGTGCCCTGCCAAACCTTTCGATCGGATCGGAATTGATCTCTATGGCCCTCTACCAACAACATCAGATGAAAATCGGTGGATCATAGTCGCTGTGGACCATTTAACACGCTACGATTAGACCGCCGCCTTTCCAAGTGCCACTGCGCGGGACGTAGCATCCTTCATCCTTCATCGCTTCATACTACGACATGGTGCACCTCGAGAACTACTAAGCGACCAAGGTCGAGCATTCCTATCAGAAGTCGTCACGTCTCCGCTTTCTGAATATCATGTTGTTCATCGCAAGACCACGGCATACCACCCGCAGACCAATGGGCTCACGGAAAGATTTAACCGCACCCTTGGCGATATGCTCGCCATGTATGTGACATCCGAATCATAATAACTGGGATCGCATTTTTCCATTCATCACGTTCGCATATATACACCGTGGCACAGTCTACCACTGGATTTTCACCTTTCTTTCTTTTTTATGAACGCGAACCATCCCACACCATCGACACTCTCCTTCCATACCGTCCTGACGCATCCGAATGCCCATCTGTGTCCGAAGTTGCCCGAAATGTGAAAGATTGCCGTGAACTCGCACGCACCTTTACGTCACAAGAACAACAGCGCCAGAAATAAAACAACGCCGACTCTTCACAAAGCCCCAGCTATTCCCCGGGATCACTTGTATGGCTTGCTGCTCCTTACCAAACCGGCATTTCCTCAAAACTCGTACCACGTTTTGGAGCAAACCTCGCCGGTGAATTTTCCCATTGAGCCACTCTCCCCATCTGACGACATGCGCCGGCGTGTGCGTGACATCGTTCACGTCGCCCGCCTTAAGCCATATTATAGCCCTCTGCCTCCAGGCTCTTAGGTCGCCAGGATGGCTCTTTTTCGGCGGGGGCAAATTGTGAAGAAGAAAACGCATCGTTGGCAAGCAACATCGCCACTGCTTGGGTACTGGGTGCTGGGCTTCTCTCGCTCGGCTCGTGCTAATCATCGCCGACATCTGCTTGACTGTTGCTCTTTCCCGATCGTGTTTCATCGTAGGACCACCGTCGAAACAGTTGCCAATAAACACTTTTTCAATATATATATATATATATATATATATATATATATATATATATATATATATATATATATATATATATATATATTGTTACTATAGAGATACACATTACATGCAACCAAGCGGCACTCCTTTCTTCCTGCACGCAACCATAATGCGTTCCATGTGAAATGTGCCATAACGTGCGTTCTAAGTGGCTTAAGAGAATAATTTTGGCATCAGTGTAATCAAAAAAAATTGCCCGCAGCTTCCCTCGGGGGAACACTGAGGAGGATGCGGAGCATATAATTGGTTAACGGGGTGTTAAAGTGCGACTTACTTGGGTCGATGGCTAAATTGGTTAACGTGGTTGTGAAATGGGGTGTTAAATTGCGACTTACTTGGGTCGATGGCTAAATTGGTTAACGTGGTTGTAGGAGGGGGTGTTAAATGAGTGAACACGTACACACGTATGCGAAAGGGCGGCGCTGGTCGAAGGGACGTCGATCATTGTGTTTGTGGATTCGTTGGAATTCATTTCACCGCGACCTTGGACGTCGACGCGCCGTACAAACCAACCGACGAGCGGCAACTGAGCGAGCGAGCGCCGACCTTGAGTATATATACAGCACGACGGCGCATGCACTGTCAGCTGTTGAATGTTCTCGAAGCGCGACGCCACATGCGCGTCCACTGGAGAATCAGGAGAATTGTAGATGTCGAACGCGGTGTGTAGAGGAGGAAGGGTGCACAGATGGTGGAGGAGTGAAGCGCGCGCGGTGTGTAGAGGAGGAAGGGATGCACAGATGGTGGAAGAGTGGGCGACGGCGCGACGGCGCATGCGCGCGCGTCAGCTGTCGAATGTTCGAGAAGCGGTGCGGACGGCGCACTACAAGGCGCGAGTATAAGATGCTTCCGCATCTAAAAGACCTTTGGGTGGAGCCTCACCGGTGACCACCACCGGGAATTCCCGTTCTCACAAGAGCAGGGTTGGCCACCCTGGTGCAGTACTTTGCCACTACCTCCAACACGAATACACCAATTAACCCTCCGCCCCCAGTCCCCAGCGGCTTCGTAGCACTGTCCAAGGCGGCGGTCAGACCTGCGACGCCGCGGAGGGTGCTAAGAATCTCTGGGTCCAGACAGGGTGCCATTGGAATCTGAACTTGGCTAGTTTTAATGCTAGAACGCTACCTATAGTGAGGCTGGTTTAGTTGTGCTATACGAGGATATAGAGGGCGTTAAATAGGATGTAATAGGTTCAGCGATGTTGGGAGGACAAGTGAGGTTTACACACTGCTGAAGAACTGACACTTCCTATGCTATCGTGGCTTAGTTGACAGAAAGGAAGTAAAGGTGAGGTTCCATATCCATAAAAATACAACAAGCAACATAGAGAAATATTGTAACTTCAGCGAAAGGGTGGAAACATTGAAATTAAGCTCAATGAGAGCTACAAGAAAACGTTGGTACGGGCTTATGCACCTCCATCCAGCCATGATGACGTATTAGCTGAACGCTTCTACAAAAACGCAGAATCAGCAATAGTATACTGCACTGATGGGCAACTTTAATGCAGGCTGGAGACCATCAGTGGGGTATCTGACATTCAGTCTAGAATGACAGAGTGGTTACTAGTAGAGTTCACAGAGTGTAATGATTTACGGATCTTCAATGCCTTCTTTAGAAAATGGGCTAACCATATGTGGAGTCCTAATGGTGAAGTTAAAAATACTCCATTCTGTGTGCACACCCTAGCACAGTACAGCATGTGGAAAAAGTTGGCAAGATCCGCTTCAGTGACCACAAAGTGTTAAGGTCTCGAATTCACATAGACGAGAAAAGAACGGCAGAAACTCACACGAAAGAAGCCAATAATGAGCTAGCCAGGCATGTTCTTGTGCTATTGCATTCATGGTATCGTGAACGTTTAAAGTATCCTCTTTTCGTTCACATCTACAGATCATTCATTAGGGTAACTTGTTATTTCTTCTATACCGCATGTCTCATCATTAGTACTAGCGGAGCAAAGCTTGTCTTAGCCAGAAAATTTCGTATTGCGAACTTTGGTTTTTGTAGGGCTTTGCGCAACAAAAAATCTGACTCGATGGCGTCTTTATTGGCGCGAAGCTTTTGCGCCCGTTTTTTTTTTTTTTTTTTGCTGAGTGCCGTTACCCGTTGCGCCTAGCTTTAACTGAGGGAACGAGTGCAGCGAGAAGCCTACTTGCTCGGGCGCCTTGAGCCACGCGGATCATTTCTTGCTCACCTGTATGTCACGCCACGCATCCGGCGTCCGCACTCACACTACGCATGCGCGACTCTCCCCCTTCCATCTCTCCAACAGCTGCCTGTTACTCTCCCCTCTTCTCTCTTACCACATGCTTCCGCTAGCTCCCCCATTGCGCATGGCCGTCCCCTCTTTCTCCTCTCTAACGCTTCCCGTCTCCTGCCTCGCAACGCCGAAGCGTCTGATAAGCGTCTGGAAGCGTCTGAGAGCCTACGTTCGCTCTCCCTCTCCTCTCGGCACTCCTCCCGCGGCGTCTCGCAATGCTGACGCAGGCAGCGTCTGCTAACTAGTATCTAGATTGAAAAAACCGGCTGCTCGCGCTGCACAACTACGGTGCTCCGCATCACAGCATGCTCCCACTTTGTAGCTGGTGTAATTTTTATTAATTTTTTGCCGATGCCAGCTGCATTACACTGAGACCACCACCGCTGAAATGGAAAACAGGTACAAATGAAAAGTAACGACAAGACTGATAGCAGTTTTAAATGATAGCGTTTCGATCGGTGAAGCCAAAATAAAACGAACAGAAAAAAATACACCTAGGCTAAATTCCAAAGAACATTTCGAAAAGCAACAAAAGCTAAATATGAGCAGCATTCTTTGTTTATTGAAATGCGCGCATCTTAAAAATGCTTCGCCTCTGTATATATCGACAAATGAGAACACCTGCTGAAATGCGCTTGCATTTGTCGTTAGGGAGTATCGTAATCGTCCATTTTCCTATTTCCCTTTCAGCGTCTTTCAGCGTGAACGCCAGGCTCAAGCTCGAGGAATCGCAACCACATGGTAAGAAAGCACCCACTGTGTAGGCGACATTATGAGGCACCCCATGAGCTTCTACGGATATGTAAAAGCGCATATGTGCCCTATTGCGCACACGTTCGAGCAACCACTGGTGGCCTAGGTTAGTCGTACGCTTCTTAAATACGTCTTGTATATTATTGCATGCAACTATATTTCTATATATCCCACCAGGAATTTTGGTAACCTTAATGTCTTTTTTTTTTTGCAAATGCACAACCACTCGCAACACTTATAACATCACTCTTTCACACGGTGCAAGAATACTTTAAGTGAGCGAACGCCGCGAAGCGAGCGCTTGGCGGGAGGGACTGATTATGTTTTTGTTCTCGGAGTGCGGGTAGATGGCTCGCCGGACTGAGCACCATGGTGGGCTGCTGGCAAATTCCGCAAAGCGCATCCGGCACGTGGGGGACGGTTTCCAAATCTGGTAAAACCGGGTAATTCCGTTCGAGTGTACTAGAAGTCCCTCTTCTAGTACACTGAAATCACGTGATGTCAACCACGTGACACACATAAAGCGGCGGCGCGAAAAAGGAAGTGGTAAGAGAGGAGGTTGACGGTACGGCAAGGGTGTTGTGGCGACGATAAATTAGCACCACCACTTTCCTACATCACAGTCTTTCCTACACTGGGAAGGGGGGAGGGGAAGTCGGGGTAAAGTTTGTAGCGCCATCTCCCAGGCTCCCATCGAAGCAGAACATTTTCGGACAGCGGATTGTCCCGGCGCTCACTCACCTAGATTATTCTTGCACCGTGCTCTTTCCCCGTACAGAACCCGTGAATGGCTTTGAATTTCGTGGGGCGATCGGCCCCCGATTCAACTGAGCTTGTCTTTCGCAGTGAACCCATTCGCCTGTTACGTGCCACCTGACCAAGGACCATGCCGTGCGTCCATCCCTCGCTATTACTTCGACAACGACACACAAACGTGCAAGGAGTTCACCTACGGAGGCTGCGAGGGCAACCCCAACAACTACGAAACGGACGAGCAGTGCAAGGCCAGCTGCAAACGTGAGTATCCAAGTTACGAATATCAGCAGGTATGTTAATATACTCGGCGACAACTTTTGTTGGCACTGAAGGGAAAGCTACGGAGGCGGAGCTTCCGCGCATGTAGCACTACGCGAAGTAGTCAGTTTGTCACGCGTCTCGTAACGGTATGGAAAGTAACGGGGACGCACCATCAGCGTTTCGTGTAGACGCAGACACCGCTTAGCGTTTCAGGTGCACGTAAAAAGGCGGCACTTTCTCGCGCGTTCAAAAACGCGAAGTCACAACGTATACATTAAAGTATATACGACTATTTTAGTTGGGGGAGCTGTATCCTGTCTCAAATAGCTCCACGTAGAAAATAAAGTGGGTACTTGTAAATTTCTCGGTGAAATTAAGGGCGCTGTTGTGGAACTACATTCATGGCGGTAAGATGTCCATGATTTCGCTCTGTAGCTTTTGCTCCTATGCATAAAAAGTTTTGCTTTAAAGGACAAAACCTGGGCTCTCGCGTGTGCAGATGTGAGCATAGTTAGCTCAGCACACATTTGCCTATTTATTTTCCTTCTATTACAAGCGCCTCTTCATCAACTTTACTTGCACAAGCTGCAAAAAGAGGTGCATCAAAATAACACGATGTGTTTCATCCGTTTATTTCTTCAGGATTTGTGCAGTTTTCGTAATTTGTGCTAAAAAATCTTCAGTATGTTTAACCAGCAAGCCAACGTCAAGCTTTCCTCAGTCCATTTCTCTGTCGCCAGTTTCATTCTTTCTGCCTGCAAATGTTCGTGAATTTGCTGCGTCAGGTACACATATTTTTTTTCTTGGAGAGCCTTTTCCTTTAACAGGAAGCGATGCTTTAGCCATATTCGTCACCACAATGATTGTCATAATAAATTTGCAATTAAAAGGCATGTTTCAGAGTATTCCACGAGCGTATGCTAATTCGAACAGGCGAAAACACTAAAGCATAGTTACATGCCATTTTTGCACAAAAAGAGCGCTAGAGAAGATCAAAGGACTGAAATGACACTGCACTCAACACCTTTAGATGTGAAAACGGTGAAACTCGCGGGACGCTGAATTCTGACGCAATAACGAATTTCCCTCTCTGTAAACAGAAGAAGAAATCGCATCCATTTGGTAAGTGAAGTTTTGTCGCAGTGCAAGAGACAGAAGTAAATACTGTAGGCAGAAAATGTTCAAGGCGAAATTCAGGTGAAAACTCTTCTGTGCACATATCATTTTAGTTGTGTACCTTAACCGGTGCAAAAGATTCTGTCAACGTTTGCACATTGCTTGCGTGTTTCCTGGCCTTGTCAATAGCGTCGTTTGGACGCATTTGATATGCATCTGCTTCAGTTTAAGCACCAGAGTATCCCTGTCTGCCATTATAACTTTGTTACACAGCTCTTGTTACATGACATTTACTAAATATAATCTAATTACGCCATCACGCAACAGACAGCCACGTTACAAGGACTGTCATAAATAATTTCTTCCCGGATAACTTCTACGACGCCCATTATAGCCTCCAAGTCATGTTGTACTTCGCAAGCCTGTGATCATACGTTCAGGGGAAAAAGCGGGTTCAAGGTACCAAAACTTGTGGAAGTACTGAACTGTCGTTACGAACAACGCTTTGCTGCCCGGATCAAAAGACAAACCGTTGAGTCGAAACTTTCTTTGATCGTGCCCGCCGTGGTGGCCTAGCTGCTAAGGCACTCGGCTCCTTGACCCGCAGGTCGTGGGATCGAATATCGGCTGCGGCGGCTGCCTTTCCAATGGAGGCGGAAACGCTGTAGGCCCATGTGCTCAGATTTGGGGGCACGTGAAACTACCCCAGGTGATCCAAATTTCTGGAGCCCTCTACTACGGCATCTCCCATAATCATACAGGTGGTTTTTGGACGTTAGACCCCACATACCTATCAACTTTCTTTTATGGTGGTGTCATACCTTCTTCAAGGGTTTTACAATATCCCGACAACCTTTTGACTTGTTTAGGAGACAAAAAGTGTAATTGCGAGGCTGATAATAATTATTCAGTTGCAGTTGTCTGTGCTAGATATTAGCTGAAAAAGTATGTATGAGACGCTGTGGCACGCCATTCCTACCTTTTGTTTGTAGCGACTGCTTGAAAGCTGCGTGTTCGACTGAGTAACTGAACGCACTAGCACGAAAAGTTCTTACGCTGAAATAGTGTTCACGAGCAAGCTTGTCCTCATTCACAACAGACCGTTAGTAAACGCGCCTACTCAGTGATAAAAATAATCAAAAAAATAGAGCTTCGCACAATTTCCCTTCCACGGTAGTTAACAGACATGTTACGCGCTGACCGGGACCCGAGTTTGGTGTTACTACCAACGACGTTGCATTCTGGCTGAAGGACATTGATTTAGGCGCGAACTAAACACCTAAAAACAAAATGTGAACCTCTGTGTACTTTCAAATGTTGTCTACGCTTTGTCCTCCCACTTTTACGACCTACTGAAGTTCTACTGAAGTTTAGGTCCTTTGTGTTTTCGCAGCCGAGACCGAGTACGAAGCCAAATGTCTCGCCAGGCCTGAGAGTGGGCCGTGCCTGGCGTACATGCCTATGTGGGCCTACGATGCCAAGCTGGGTCAGTGCGTGAAATTCATATACGGCGGCTGTGACGGTAACGACAACAAGTACCCCACTAAGGAAAAGTGCCTAAACAGCTGCAAGAAATCAACCCCAGGTAATGTGTCCGTACAAAGTTTGCGTTAAACTCATTTGAATATTATATGATATCAGTCTCACTGACATAAAGCCAAATGGGGTGCATTCTTATAATGAAAAAAAATTATCCGTCACGGTACTCAGGTCGTGGGATCGAATCCCGACCGCGGCGGTCGAATTTCCGATGGAGGCGAAAATGCTTGAGGTCCGTGTGTTTAGATTTGGGTGCACGTTAAAGTACCCCGTGGGGTCAACATTTCTGGAGCCCTTCACTAAGGCGTCTCTCATAATCATATGGTGGTTTTGAAGCATTATACCAGAACAATTATTAATATTATTATGCGAAAATGTAGTCATTCCTAAAATCAAGGTTAGTGAGCTGACGTTATGAAAGTTCGTTGCGCCATCCTAGCATTGGTACTTCCTTGCCCTAAAATGGGTAATACCTCAATGTACGAAATAAAATTATATTCAACCCATTCTGATAGTTGAAAAAAAAGTTTCTACTTATGAGCTCAACCTGCACAATAACAAAGCATTCAAATAAACTGTCAGACATATGCAGGCGTTGACAAACACTTTCCACCATGTGAATGCGAGTCTAACTCCAAAGCCTTGGATTCACTCTGGCAATAAAAAGCCGTCGTTCTAAAAGTGGTAGATTGTACGCGTTCTAGCAGTCAGTTTCATACATCGTTATCAGCGGATAATTTATTATCTATTCTTCAGAACTTGCCTTGAGTCAAACGTTTCAAAGTGGATCGACGCATTTTTGCAAGTGGTGTAGTTGTGTGCAAATTGCTGGCTTACCAGGAATGTCGCTTACAGTGGCGTTTAAAACGTAAATTATAGTTTAGCATAACTTAACCACTCACGTTAGGGCACGGACGTCAATACCATCAAAATAAAGTTCATTTTACGGTGCGAACATTTCAATACCATAGGAAACTTCTATTAGCTAAGTCGTCTTGGGTCAAGAAATATTTTAATACAGCTTGCTGAATAATATGAACAACAATGCAGTGCTTATTAGACTGCTATAAAGCAGATCGAAGAGTTGAACCACAAGTGACGTCAACCCGACATATCTGTATTATAGGTGCAAACATGTGATGTTTACTGAGTTATAAAACTACGTAGCCAGTACTGCAACCAAAATTGACGTAGCACCGACATTACACCCGCATAGGGTCTCTTTTACCAAGTAGTTTCAAGACTTGCAAGGTTTTGTCATAGAACAAGGGACTGTTACGAAGAATTCTTTAGTTCAATTCATGATGGGAGCTTGTTTCCGTCTTTTCATTAATGGCGCCAGCGTTTACGATGTCAGTTTTTCACAGCGTTTTCGCATTTAAATTGTAAATGCCAAGTATCGCCATTCCTGGGCAGATTTAAGCTATCAAGCAGCTGTGGTGCATACCCACACGACGTGGCTCGCTGCGAACGTCTATGCACCCTATTTATCCGGAGGGAAGGGTTTTGTTGCGAACATAACAGTATTTCAACGTTATTCATGTTATGACCAGACAGTCACATTTGTAAAACCCTCTCACTTTCCTATACCGAAGTTAGTCTACACCATGTTCGCGACGCAATGATGAGAGCACCCGGACGTAAGTGGGTGGGCGGGAGGGTGAGTGTATGGATGGACGGAGACGCCCAAAGTGGATTTGGTTCACTAAGAAATGCCTAGCCATAACACCCCACTATCGAGCTTTGCATCCCGCAAGTCGAACACTACACACTAAAACTAAAGAGCTCGAGGTGATCTAATTTAGTTATTCTGGAAGGAAAATTCTTGTAGAATATGCTATTTACATGTCTTAGCATTTTGGTGCACATGCTAGAATAGCGTGCAAGAAAACGCGTCAGAAAACACTGCCACAGTTCGCAAGTACGCAAACTGCATTCAGATGATAGTTATAGCACGACAACAGAACAACGACAAAGAGACAAGAAGGAGACTAACGCTACTTTTCTCGTCGTTCTTGTCGCTTTGTCGTCGTTCTGTTCTCGCGCTATAAATATCATCATGTCATACCAACTGGCCCAAACCGTCACACGTCTAAGTTGCATTAAGATTCATGGCTACCGAGTTCATAGCGCAATAAAGCAATCGTTGTAGTGCTCAGAAAGAACTTTTGCACATAATTACTCATAAATAATTCTGATATTTCGTTTATTCACTTCTCTAGTGAGCTCTTAAAATACTGATGTTTCTAAAATCAAAGAGAATTCATTAGAATAAAGTTCAGAAATAGCCATGAGCTTGAACGCCCTGACCTGCTACTCTGCACAGGGATAAAAAAGACAAAAATAAGAGCGGCCTAGTATTATGATGGGCACTGGAAGTATTAAGTATACACAATAACCATGTGCCTGTGACATAGTGGCTATCCTAAAGTCTGGCATTTAGTACAGTATTCTTGATGAAGCCGACAACTGTCGTAGCAGCAGCTCACAATGTCGGCTGAACATTTCGAACAAAACACAACTTGTGTTTCTACCCCTAGTGCTTGCCAGAGAAGGAGGCAGCTCCTTCTGTCGCATTGTAGATGTTATACTGCTTGAAACACTTAGACTAAGTTCTGAGTTTAGACATAGATTGAAGGCTACACTCATGCGAGTACGGTTGGGTGCACCGTATTGATTTCGTTTGATTATAGCCGGGAAACGAATGTTCATGTTACGGTCCACTTCCTTCACTTACTAATACGAGAATGATCAAACTAATATGGTGACTGGCTAAACGACTGCAGTTCACAGCGTACAGAAGTGAACTTCCCATTATTCGGACGCCGCCGGAAGGGAGTGGTCTAGTCTGTCCTTCTGTATACTAGCGTCTTCAAGACCATAAAGTTTCCCACAATACCGTAAAAACCCGCGTATAGCCCCGGGTTTTTTTTCTCTAAAATTTAGGGTGCGAAATTTCAGCCCCGTACTATATGCGGATCCCAAAAAAGTTTCGGCCCGAATTCAGTTTTGGTTTCGGCATTGGTTGGTGCTATTATCATTATCAGGTGTCTGCGCACTTCTACGTTAGGTGGCGTGGTAGCGTGAGCGGCGTTAGTCCTAGAGACCTACAGGTACAGGCGTGCATCAGGTGAGCAACAGTGGCCATTGCAATCACTTGGCGCACATCACGACGGCCACGATTTTACTTCCGTGATTTTAAGCCATGTCGGGACCGCGCAGGCAGTACTCGGCTGGCTTTAGGAGGAAAGTTATTTCTGCTGCCGAAACCATCGGCAACTGTGCCGCGGAGCGGCAGTTCGGCGTGAATGAGCGGATCATTCGCGGTTGGCGGAAGCAGAAGGAAGCCCTTTTTGCATGCTGCGGCAAGAGAAAAAGTTTCCGGGGACCGAAAAATGGAGCATTTCCAGACGTGGAACGAGAACTGATGGACTTTGTTCGGGAGCAACGAGCTGCACAACTCGCTGTGCACATCGAGCTGCTGCAGGCAAATAAATGCATTTTTTTCTGTTTTCCTCGAACAATATTCGCGTGAAAATGTTTTTTCTCGCGTTTGCTATCCCCGAGTTACACCTCGAACTATACGCGGGTCCGAACTATACGCGGGTTTTTACGGTACTTACAAGAAAGAACTCTGGCGCTAGTGGCTATGGGAGTTGCAACACACAGCGCTTCAGTGAGCGTGGGAATGGTGGGTAGTACACACATTTATCTAATTTTCGTACTTCTGGCCTGCTTCTGGCTCCGTGTGTGTTCGTGTGGCTTGGAGCTGTTTTTTCCCGAAAACATAAATTAGCAAATGTTCACCGTTTGCACTTCACAGCCTTATTCTTTTAAGCTTACTATATCGAATCAAGTCCCTAAGTTCAAAAGGGTTCGTTCTTTTTTTCAAAACGAAACCGTAACCAGTAATAAACAAAGTACGATTCGCCGCCCACAAGTGCGAAGACTAGGCAAATGTGTGTGCCACCCATCATTCCCATGGTCGCTCAACGATCGCAGCGCCAGAGTGCCCTCTAGTTAATTTTGCGAAACTCTACGTTTAGACGCTATTAAAAAGTTGAAGTAGTTCCACTAATAGGTTCTAACAGCCCATCTTTTGCATGAAATGACACCGCCTCTCAGCCATCAAGCGGACCAGTCGGGTTGACATCGACTTCCCAAAGCAAAGCCACGAATCCCCTGCTTTTGACTATTGCCCCTCTTCTTTCTCTCTCTGCGCTTTTAGATTTGTTTCACCGAGCTCTCACTTCTCTTCCAAATTTTCAAGGGCGAAGCACCTTAACGTTTCTGTTTATCGATGTGTTATGACGCCGTGACGGCCCCAGCGTTGCTGGCTTCTCTTGTTGTCGTCACGGTCTACAATAAATTGGAATGGACCACAACAGTTTAGTAATTCGCACTACTCGCCACCGGTTTATACTATAGACACTTTGCATCATCATCATCATATCATCATCATCATCATCATCATCACTGAGATCATCATTAGCCTGACTACACCCTGTTCTGTTTTACGCGCTCATCAAAGACACAACCACACGAGACGCTAGCTAGCAAGGGACTGTTTATTGATGGCTGCCGCGCCGCGCGCGCGCCCTCTCTCAAGGTGGCCAGGTGAGGTGGGATCATCCCGATTTATTAAGCGGTGGCCCGCCTGGTACATCCTCCTTTTTCTTTAGGTGATGTAGTCGGCAAAGCGCGTCGGTGCTCTACGTGGCCTAGTTGATCTTCTGAGACTCGAGTCGGCTGCTTCTTGTGCCTGGCAAGTGACCTTATGCTGGGACGGGACCACGTCGGGGTCCCTTGATGGTTGACTTGCAATGGGTGGTGCACGTGCAGCTGACTGGTTCAGTAGAACATCCGATGCAGGCGCCTGTTGTGACGGATGTCGTTCCTTTCGTGATGCGGATGCTGTTGTCAAATTGGGCGCTGTATCTGATGTTGAATGTTGTCTATGCTGTATAGGCGACGGGATTGTCGGTGCGACATCCTTGTCATCCAGTGGGTCTAAGTGTTCGGGCGTCCTTTTTAGATGCTGACGAT